TGGAACACATACCTTTTTGAATAGCTTCTATGGATCTAGCCCTGTGCTAGGTGCTGTAGGATTCACTTCCAGTTGTTCATTTAATCATCCATTAAAAATCTGTTTGTTGAGCTGGGTGTGATGGTGCACACCTGTAATCCCAGCACTTGAGAGGGTAAAGCAGAAGGATTACCACGAGTTCTAGGCCAGCCTGAACTACATAGCTGACTGGAAAAAAAAAATGTGTTTGTTTGGACAACTACTGTATGCTTGGACAAGCAGGCAAAGTGTGTGCCCTTACAGAGCTTATGTTGTAGAAGGTAGAATATTCTGGAGGAGGTGAGATCCCTTTTCATCAAAGAGTTGAATATATACAACAGGAAAGACCCCAGAAAGCGTGCCATGTACTGACATAGTGGTAGGTACCATTTGTTGAGCCCTTGCAACGTCCTGAGCTCACAGTGTCTCTTTATTTAAGCTGCACAATGGACTTATTTTCCCCATTTTGTTGACATGGAAATTTTGGCTTAGAAAAAAATAAGTAGATAGTAAATGGTAGATAAGAGATTTAAACTCGGGCAGTCTGACTCAAGCGTTCACAGTTTTAACCACTCCCCTACATTCTCTGACCTAAGTGGAGTAGAAATAAGTGTTAAACCACATCATACTGATGCTATGAAGGTCTGTCCGAAGGGGAGGAAACAAGTGTTGGCCTCTCCGGGCATTAGGCAGCCACAGCTTGCCACAGACCTGGGAAAGAACAGAGTGTCCCTAGGTCAGAGAGGTGAAACCAGACCTCTCTGTACACAGGTGGACCTGTCACCTTCACCCTGGACGTCTCCCCACTGTGTCCAGGGGTACTGTAAACCATTGAAGTTCCCAGCCCACCAGGAAGTTACAGCCCCAGCTCCCAGGGCCTGTACAGGGGCGCGTATGAAGGGACATCCAGGGGGCACTGAACAACGAATAGATCACCTTTTCGTTCCATTGAAATCTCCTTTTTTTGGGAGAACTGTATTTTACTATTTTCTTTCCGTATCTCACCTGTTTTTTACCCTTTTCCACTGCTGGTTTCCACTCTGCTCAATTTATACATTCGGTTAATGTATTACTTCCATCCTCTTCCGTGTCATTAATAAAGATGTTAAATAATTCTGAACCAAATACTCACCCCTGTAGGGCCCTACAGGACACTTTCTTTTAATTAGTTGTGCTGCCTTTCATCTCTCTTATGTCCTTTGGTTTCAGATTTCCAGCTGGTTTGGAATCCATGGCTTTTTATCCAGTCCTGTTTGAACTAATTTCAAGAAAATCTGAGTGACGTTTTACCAAGTGTTGATTCAGGTCCAGGCCTACAGACAGATTTTTCTAACAGATTAATAGAGTACAACTTGGTCTTAATAAACTGAGCCTTCCTCATGCACCTCTTTCCAATATTCTTTTCAATCATATCAGTATTTTCTCTATTAATGTCATAGTAATTTGAATTGTGTTGACGTCAAACTTCATGAAAGGTACTCTTAACTGTCAGGAGTAATCCTCTTAGACCTTCTCAAAGATAACTGTTTCTAAGTGGTTGTGCTCTTACCAATATCTTGTAATGACTTAGCTTTTGAAAAAGAAAACCCATAAAAATAACTGGGCATACTGTAAACCACCTAATTGACCAGTTTCCAGTGTGCTTTATTATATAAAACAGGGAGTGATTTAAACTCACAAGAAACGAGACCTCGGAGTACTCTATTAAATAATTTACAATGGTGACCCCATTTAAAAATAGCTCTTAAGTCTTTAAAATGTAACTAGCAGAAAAAAAAAAAATGTAACTAGCAGGAAGTGAACTCTTCTTAAGTTGCTTGCTGGGCAACCTAGGGCCGTGGCGGATACACTCAAGGGTGATTTGATTTGACATATGGAAATCCTTGGATATTGGAGGGAGAATCTCACTGGAGAGCTGTAAGAAATCCTCTGTGTATGAAGCTCAATTATGTTTTTAAATTAACCCCTTCTATGGACAAGGTTGTAGGGCTGACTTCTTATGTTTCATTGTGAATTAACTCTTGACTGAAATATAAAAACAGACGTAAAGTAGAGTATGTGGAATACTTGTGAGAAGGTCTTTCTTTGCCTTTTGTCTTTACTGGATTTAAAAAGAAATCTTTACCAGAAAATATATTTCTAAGAATTGTTGCAGCCATTTGACTGACCTTTCTTTTTAATGTTTTTACATTTCTTGTGTACCTGCACTGTTCATTTAGGGGTCTCCTCTTGGAAGCTCTTTAGCACACTGATGAAAATTAGGAGACTCAGCTGGGCAAGGTGGCAAATACTTGTAATCCCAGCACTCAGGAAGGCTGAGGCAGGAGGATCACTGTGAGTTGGAGGTCAGCCTGGGCTCTGTAGTGGGTTCAAGGCCAGCCTGAACTGCATAGCGAGACCCTGTCTAAAACAAAAAAAGTGATTAGGAGAAATCCTTGCAGCAAACAAAGGACAGCTAATCTGACCCTCTATGAAAATAGACTGTGAGCATCTGCTTTTATGAGATAGCCAGGGCTGGATCCCATCCTAGATGGCCACTGGAAACTTCTCTAAACAATACTGCTTAAAATTAAATCCTTTTGAAGTAGCAAGGCTGTCTCCACTCAGGGGGAAATAAAAAGTTAATAAGGCAATGTGGCAGGTTCTCAGATGGTGTGTGGAGAGCCATTTAAGGAGCAAAATATAACTCCCTTAAAAATCTTTTTTTCATTAGTTCTGAGGCTGTCTTTTTCCTCTACGGCGAGGAGAGCAGTAGCATGCACTTGGCATGTTTGCAGTTTGCTGACAGCCATGGCGTAAATCAAAAAAATGAGAAGGACCGTCTAGAAAGAACAGAAACCCGAGTCCTAGTGGACTTGGATATAAATGTAATCTGCATTGAAGTTTACATTAAGAAAATTCTATCTTGGCTCCTTAGGAAGACAAGCGGCCTCCTAGAGCAGGGGTTGGTTAATGTTTTCTACAGAAAACCCCACAAAAAACAGACAATAAATGCTGTAGGATTTCCAGGCGGCATGGACTCTGTTGAAGCTGCTATAGTGTGAAAGCAGCCAGAGACGATACACAAAGTTCCTGGACACTGAAATTTGGATTTGATGTGTTTTCATTCATCATGCAATATTATTGTCGTTTGGACATTTTTGTTTTCATGGACCCTTCCCGGAACATGAAGGAGACAGGGTTTAGCCCATGATTTTGTTGGCCGCCTCCTGATCGAGTGCACACAGACAGCCCCTGTCCTCGACACATCCAGTGCTGTCCTAAGGACCCCATCGGTGTTCACTTGGCTGTTACCGTATAAGAGGACAGAGTAACCCTTTCACCATACAACACACACTTGACATTTGCAAAGGATTTATCTTGAAGTCGTTGCTAATCCCCCATCCCAAGTACCACTCTAGTGGATCATTTCCCCCATAAAATGCAGTCAAGGATAACAGAATTAATTAAAGTGACCCTTCCCGGCCCTCGGTGATTCAATAGGTAGAGGGCTAAAGTCCCTTACAAAGTGATTAAAATAAATTCTGCCACCGAAATCTGTTCCCTGCCACGTTACATCATTGCCGTGATGACAGTAACGATGAATTTACCTCAATCGGCAAAACCAGTCCACCTCAGTCATGAGCGACGGTGACCAGGCTGCCAAACAGCATCTGTGTCTGTAAAGGGACAGGAGAGGGCGCTGATCCAGTAGGCTGGGCAGCCCAGCGAGGCCGTGCTGATGAGCGCTGGACACACGCAGGGCAGAGAACACTCATCTGCCTCGAGACGCAGGTGTTAGGCAGCTGTGGACTTCACGGAAGCTCTCGCAGTGGCTCAGCTCTTCCTGGGTTTCATCCTCCGAGTGGATGCGCTCAGCATTTACCGCGCAGCCAAATGTCCATCTCTGGACCTGGGGTCATTTCAAATACCAAGGGTGTGAGTGTGACGTTCACTCGAGCTAAGACCTGCTGCCCTTCTCTTGGCCAGAATCTCAGGCTCTTCCATCCTCTTGAGGTAACCAAGAATAATAGAATAATAATACAGATTTGTGGAAATGGTCTACAAAAGGACATCAAAATGATTGAAATGAAAGATAGGGGCTTCTGTAGGACAGAGATGAATGATATCAGGATTGTTTTGTCCTGAAAAGGGAAAACGCCATCAAATAAACAGCTTTTTTTTTAAGGGGAATTTGACTAGACATTGCAAATGGAGAAGTGAGGAGGCCCATGCCTACATGTAGGGAGTAGGTAAACATGACTCCTGGGGACATGTGTGGGATTTTTTTTAGTATGTATTTGTGAAAAAACACATTCATCTAGGGGAACTGGTAATATCCATATCACATCTTAATCATTTTTAGATCTTGACTGTAGGCCTGATAAGCCCTATAGCTGAATAGCAAGGAAGTAATTGTGATGTTTCCAAACCATGGAGAATAAATGGTTGGTCACAATGGTTTAGGCATCCGCTTCCTTGATATGAAGTGATAGAACTGGAGATTTCTTAAGGTCTGTCCCCTGCAATATGCACCATCATTCAAGTAACCTCTGTGAAACAAACAAAAAATACAAACTGCTTTCTAGGGCATAAAATTTATGTCGGATGACATTTATTTCAGTCCAGGGCCGAGTCTTTCTGTCCTCCAGTTCTTTTGCTTACACTGGGAGTCTCCCGAGGCTGGAAGACGGCAAGCTATTCCTAAACTCCAGCGATTCTCACTCCACAGACAGAATGTCAGGCTCTTCAACTGCATTTTCAACTGTCTTGTGAGACAAAGACTAATTGGTTTGACCTCATGCTGTCGCATGTTGAGAGACATGAATCTTCAGTGCTCTTCCTTGAATTCATTGATTTCATTAAACACTGTCTGCTTGTGTTTGCAAAATGTTGTAATTTCCCACTGATTTCTTCGAACTGCAGCACATCAACAGATTCTTTTTTGGAATGATGCCATTTCGTAGCTTTGATCTCGTGTTTTCATCTTCTATTTCCAATAGGTCTTCCACATTAAGGCCATTGAGCCACAGAAAATATCAACCTTAGGAAAAAGTAACGTGATCGTAACAGGAGCAAACTTTACCCGGGCATCAAACATCACGATGATCCTGAAAGGAACCAGCACTTGTGATAAGGATGTGTGAGTTGAAATACTAGTAATTGATCCATGGTAATGTAAAGCCAAAGCCTATGCCCAAGGAATGTCAGTGTGATTAGACCCTTTCTGTAGTCAGATGATTTCATGCATGAGAGTGGACCAGTGAGTCCGGGTATTTGATATAACATAATTCCAAAAAGGTTAAATGATTTTAACAACAAATTTGAAGTTTATTGTCAGAGAATCTGTCCTATGTTACCTCCCCTCCCCCCAAAATCTCAGTAAGCAGTAATTTTCAGGATTCCCTATTTGGGGCCTGGATTCAAATTCATTATCAAAATTATGTATAGAGACTAAACATGATTGAGAAGATGCACTTAGAAAAATAGTCGTATACCTTGGAATTCGATGCAGAATTTTATGAAGCAGTGCTTTCCAATGTGGACCCCAAAGTTGAAAAAAGAAAATTTCAAATCTGTTTTGGAAATTTCATGCTTTGTAGCCTTCTTTCTTTTTATTGGTTTGGTTTCAGTCTCAAATAATTAAATTAGCAATTCAAAGATTAGTAGTAAGAAAAGAACAAAACACCCCAAACATAAAATATCTGGTCAGTGTGCCACTTGGATGTTATGATTTCTATGATGTTTTCCCCCCAACTCATCCTATTAGTGAAATTGAACAAGAAATTTCAATTTCTCACTGATATCCTCGGGCAAATTGTCCCTCCCCCCACTGCAGGGAGAAAAAGGAGATGTAATAATAATAATAACACAACAGACAATTTGAGTTTTCTGCTTGCTAACTTTTATAAGTTTGGGCTAATTTGAAGGAAAAGATGTTGCAGTCTCCATGAAGTATAATACTGAGCTTATTTTCCTCATGGAAATACATTTAAGATGATCTGCTGAAGCGTGATGTTTTGGTTTTTAACTACTAAAACAGATTTGTACAGCATTCTCATCTGCCATGCTTATTTACTGAATTATCTGTTCTAATTCAGTCACCACACATCACTGCCGCACCTTCCACTTAGAGCAGTAAATCTGGAATATCTATGATCTGGAGGGGAAAAGCCAGTCCTCAGTGCGGTGCTCTGCTCGGCTCTGTCCCAGCACAATCAGGCACATATTAGAGCCAGTATCTGTGCAACCTAGGTATTTTTGTGCCACTTATCCTGGCTAAATACCTTATTGCAAAAATCTTCCATTCTGTGTAGCGAAATCTGCGAAGTCAGACACCTGTGAGTTCACTGAAAGGCAATCATTTTCACTGGAAAATAAGTCGTTTTCAGAGCATTAACCTGTTTCTGACTCTTTATGCTCTCATTTCCATTCCGAACGTGTCTTGAGATATCACAGTTATTAAATTAAATGACTAAGAGACCTTTCTGTGTGTAGCATTTCAGTAACCACATCTGTGCAGCGAACCCAAGTTCATGAGAGCAGTCGACGTAATTCCCAGTTAATCCTAGACCTCGGCCCATGCCATAATCCCAAACTCTTTCAATGTGGTATTTTTTAAATTTTGAAGAGAAAAATGCAAGTATAGTAGTGAAATGACCTACATTTCCACCTCTCTCCTACTGAAACTTATAAACAAGTTTGGATTTTAATGAGCAGCCATTTGACAATGAACTTCCAAGAACTACGCTCCAGGTAGAAACCTTCAAATGTACATCCAAGGTAGGATAAGCATAAACTCACTCAAGTGGTTTTTGCATTTGCCTTCTTTTAAAGCGCAGTAGTGTTAATCATCATGCACACATCCTTTAAGAAGCAAAAACAGAGTCTCCTTCAGCATAATTAAGACTATTGAGACGCAGCTCCTCTTTAGTGGTGTATGCTTTAAAGGGTCGTTGTAGACACACAGAGGTCACAGGAGTGTTGTGGAAGGCTTTCCTTTGACTCCAAACAGGCATTGAGGGCGGATCCTTGTGGCTGTCAGGAGCACCCAGCACTGTCCCAGAGACTTCCCAGTCTAAAGGTTTCCATGGAGGCAGCAGAGCCCTATCAGAGACCCTCAGGCTCTCTGCTGTTGGAATATACAGTTCCCACACCTGGCTGTGATTGGATTAGGCTCCACCTTCCTAGTGGTTGGCTAGGATTTTTTTTATTTACAGCTTTTATTATGGAAATGTTCAAACATATACAAAAGAGATGAGCAGAATGACCCTCTTTACCAAGTTTCTAAATTTATCAGCATTCTCCCAATCTTGTTTTGCCTAGCTCATCTGCTTTTGGTGGGGGAGGGGAAGCACATGTGTGTAGGGGCTGGAGTTTCTTAAAAGTGTATCCCAGACACCATATCCCTTCACTCATTAATACTTGGGCATATACCGCTAACGGGAATACTGTTGTTATCACACTCCACAAAATTAACCATGATTTCTTAATACAGTGTAATACCCTTTCCACAATTCCCATTCCATGCTCACTTTATGTTAGGCTTTTTAAAGGGCAATGGTTACTTCTCCTTCCTCCCCCACTTCAAGGAAGAATGCAAATAAAATGGTAAAAATGGACAAGAGAAAGAGGAACCCAGCCTCACATCTACCCCAACTGGGTAAGCAGCTCTTGATTAATCAGTAGCTAGCTGCCCGCAGCTGCAGCTGTTCTGGTAGTCAGCACAGTTGTAGATCAAGTGAAATCCATACGCTGTCACCTTCAGCAGTCAGCTGTGCTAAGTGTCTGTGTCATGTAAGAGTTCTTCCTCTCCCCCTTTCTAGGATACAGGTTAGCCATGTGCTAAATGACACCCACATGAAATTTTCTCTTCCATCGAGCCGGAAAGAAATGAAGGACGTGTGTATCCAGTTCGATGGTGGGAACTGCTCTTCTGTAGGAGCGTTATCCTACATTGCTCTGCCACACTGTTCCCTTATCTTTCCTGCTACCACCTGGATCAGGTACTGTCTGGATGCACGATATGTTTCCTGCCTGTGGTTTAGGGTCTGATGCATAAAGATCATGGATTTCATGCCGATGAATTCAGAAATGATAGCCATATTCAGATTCCTAGTCCCTCGCAGGATTTTTTTCCTAGAGAAAGGCATACCTGAAGAGCTGGTTGTTCCCGTTGTCATAAGCACTGTGAACACATCCTGTTTTTCTCTTAGCCATGGCTGCCAGGAAACTCTCAGCTCAAATATTTGTTCAACCACAGTAACTATTCTTAGCTTAGGTTTCTGCTACAAATCTATGACCTTCTTCACCATGTGCCACTGCTGCTTATGATAAAAAGTCTCCTTTCTTACATCTTTCAGTTTATAAACTTTAGAGTCAGCTGTTTTGAATGCTTTGGGAGAAATATTCAGAGATATTAGAAGCAAAGGCAGTATCTATGGAAATTTCAAAATAATCTCTTCCAGGTGAACCCTTAAGGAGAAAAAGAAACCCCACTCTTATCAAATTTAAATTCCCATTTAAATTTTGGAATACAACCCTAAAGAGATTTTGTTCATCTGACACAGCCTGAAGATAATTTTCAAAGTGCTCTCTAGGTAAAACTACCCACAAGGCTTTGGGAGGGTGGAGAAAAGATTTTGCTTCTGCCATTCTTCTCTAAGATGAAGTGAGAGAGCTGGTTGTATTAGTCTGCTATGGCTGCTGTAACAAAACACCAGGTTGAAGTGCTTAAACAATAGAAACCATTTCCTCCTACTTCCCGAGCTGGAAGTCTGAAGTCAGGGTGTCCCTGGGGCCTGGTTTCCTCTTAGCGCTGTCCTTGGTTTGCTGACAGCAAACTGAGGCCTACAGAGGCTTCCAGCAACAGGATGGTTTGGCTGCCAGTGTCAGGCTGTACTGCCATACTATTCTGCCTTACTGTGATGTAAAGTGCTCCTCGCTGCCCTGCTACCTGTGACATTCTGAGCCTGTCTCTTGGCTGCTTCTGGGTGTTTGTGCTTTGAGCAAGAATGGGGCTCCGTAGCCTGGCACCAGAAGAACATGCATGGCTTGGTCTTCATGCAACCGTGATAGGTTGGCAGGAGGCCATCTTGGCCCAGCCCCTTGCAGCTGGTGGGCTGGGGCCTGGGGTCTTCTCTGTGCCACACAAATTGGCCTTCTCTCACCCACCCCCTGGTCTGATCACCAAGGGCTTAGCCAGCTGTTGGACCTGACACACCTAGACTCCTTTTGTCTAGTGACCTCTGAGGTCAAGGACACTAGGGTAGCTGCAACTGCTGGTGGCTGTTTATTTCACGCCCAGTGACCACTTTGTGTATATCTAATGACGAACCGAGAGTACGTGAGGCTGTTTGGCTTGGTTTTGAGATAAATGAAGCTTCCCCTTACACTATTATTCATATGGTTTCCCAAAGAGGAATTTATACTTTTAATGTCTTTTATAATTTTACCTTGTCCAATGTGTTCCCAGTGTCCCCGAATAAAATATAATTGGTAGGTTGGGAGTTTGATTTTGAAATTGCTCAGATTAAAGAATCTTTATATAGATTAAACAGTAGTTGAACAAAATTCCATTCAGGGAATCCTTTTCAAGGTACAGTGGATCAGATTATATGTGGCAAAATGGTACAACAAAGCTCAAATTCTATTAGAGAATTTGGACATTTTTCCAAAATTAAAATGGGAATTTTTACCTGGGAATGGGAATTAAAACCTGGATTGTTTTATACCGATGTGTCTTAAAAACCATGAATTTGTGGTCAGTATCTGTAACAGACTTCTTAGACTGTCATACATTTGAAATTAAAATTAGTTAATTTTCTCTCAAACATTACTGTTTAATATTACATGTGGATGAGCTGACAGTTTTGTTCCAAATGTAAAATGCCTGTATATTTATCCTTATTGTTGCTTTTTGCCTTACAGTGGTGGTCAAAATATAACAATCATGGGCAGAAATTTTGATGTAATCGACAGCTTAATCATTTCACAGGAGCTAAAAGAAAACATAAATGTAAGTCTTCAGCTGCTGTGCAATAATAGTTCTTTTCAGTGTTATTTTTGTTTTCATCACACTAAATCGTGTTGGGGATATTTCTTATTTCTACAGCTTTCATGTTATAAGTATTTTAAATTTACCTTTTTACAAATTTTCCCACTGTATGATGCTATCTGTGTTGCAACTGAAATAACAAGACCTCACACTTGTAGTTGCCTATTTGGGGTTGCCACGCAGAGCATAAAGAAATGAACTTGGTAGGGCAAGACCTGCCGTGTCTCCTTGTGTGATTATGGCGTCACTTTAATGAGACGAGACGATGCTTGTGAATATGTGTGAAAATGCTTCATGCACACTCGAGGTGTGAGTAAGGAACAGTGTTTCTGTGAGGAGTAGGCGGTGATGGTCCCATTGTGCAGAGAGCTGGGGTCCTGAGAGACAAGGTGACTCGCTGATGCCCCAAAACTCCTGCCAGGGCTTCTCCTCCTCTAGCCATTGTCTCCTGGGCCCCTTTGGTCCCTGCCATCTGCTCACTTTCTCCTGCCTTCCCTCACCCCATGGTGCAATGGTAGGAAGGGTCTGTTCCCATCAGAGCCCTGTGGGACTGAAGCTGCTGGTGCCAGGAGTGAGAGGGAGATGAAAGACTTCAGATTCTCTCTGGGCCTCTGAGTGTTCTACTAAGCACTTCCTGAATCTTCTTCCCCTTCTGTCTTCTGCTTTCCTTGATGAAAGATAGGAGCGGAGCAACCTTCCTGGGGCCCCACCTGATCACTTCCTGCCAATGTTGGCAGAGCTGAGGGTGACAGCGGAATTGCTTCCCTTGGGGTCGGTATGGGCCCAGGCATAGATGCAGCAGACCTCCTGTTTCACCATTCCACAGCCTTCTCGGACATGCATCTATCTCCGGTGCACTTCAAAACGGGTTCCAACCCCACGTTGGGCCTGATGCTGGGCTGTGTCTCCACGAGGCAAACACACCCATTGTGTTAGTCACACAGAATGACCTGACCAGAGGCTGGACCTGAATTTGTCAATGGTCTTGCTCCATTTCCTAAGTGCTGTTTCCAAATCAAGTACCATTTATTGAGCACCAACTCTAGACAATTTTTTTTTTTTTTTTTTGCTGGGTGCAAGGGTGAAAGACAAATGAGACTGTCACACTGACTGCAAGGAGGGGGACGGCGGATCTACACAGGGCTTGAAAGTTGGCAGCACAGGGTGACATCAAATGCTAGGTCCTGTGGTTCTCACTGAGTCCAAGAATACTGTTTGTTTCCATATGAAAAAGAAATTACATATGGATAGGATGAAGATGGGCAGGACTGGGACGAGTGGAAGTGGAAGAAAGGGCAGTTGCAGGCACTGAGGGCAGTTCCTTACCTGCGCCTGGTAGAATGCCACTCAGCCCTGCACTGCTGGACCCTAGAGGATGGGCCAAGAATGAGCAAGAGGGGGCCAGGGATTTAGCTCAGTGGTTCCAGTGCCTGCCCTGCAAGCGCAAGGTCCTGAGTTTGATCCCCGGTACCAAAAGAAAACAAAAAAGAATGAGCAAGAGGGATGGCTGAAAAACTATAGTGGGGCAACGCCCCAAGAGTGTCGTCCTGAAAAGGTTTCCCTTAATTGTCTAAGCAGTGGGGAGCTACTGAAGGCCCGAGCAGGGAGTGACATGAGGTCATATTTGGCAGTGCTGTGTAGGAGAGTTTGGAGAGCCAATTACTGGACAAAGGGTGGGAAGCCAAAAAGGATGCCCCTGCAGACATCCAGACACGGCTGAGGTGACCCAAGGTCTTGGCTGAGCTCTCCTCTGGCCGGTCCAGTGGGCTGGCGCTGGTGAAGCAGCACTGTTGTTAAAGGGAGGTAGGGGACAACATCAGGGGAGCAAGAGCACCACGGGTAAGAAAAGAGCATCTGGCAGGACAGCTTCACTGTCAGGGGTAGAAGAAAATCAGATGGCCAGGGAAAGTCGCTGAGAAGTTGCTCGAAATTTAGGGGGAAAAGAGCATTTCAGGCTGTGGGAGTTGGTCCCTTGTTTGGACACCTGGTGTCTTGAGGATGTGGATGGGGGATCCTGTCTCTGGCAATCTTTCTGGAAGGCAGTCAAAAGCCAGGCTCCTCAGAATTGTGGCTGCTGAGAGCAGAGGCAGCAGGTTTGGTAGTTTTCATCCTAGCGCAGAAATGTGAAAGTGAGATTCAGGTCGGAGGACGGAAAGCTGCTCAGGTGGAAGGTCGGTCACCCTGGTCCAGAGGTCGGCACCTGGCATCAGAGGCCTGCACCCCATCTCCTCCTGCCCTCTTTCCTCTACTCCAGGATTAGAGACAAGAATGGGGACAGTCCTCCCGCCTGGAGAATTTCTTTGATGAGCTCCAGTTGTTCTTCCGTAAACATCTGTCCACCACCCTAACCCACCACTTTCTCTGCCTGTCTCTCCGAGCAACTGGAAATGACAGTATATGTACGTGGGGTTTTTTAATACACCTGTAAATTGGGCCACGTTGTCTGCATTGCTTCCAGGTTTTGCACTCTCCATTTCACGGGGGACTCGTCATTCCTTTGACTTTTGTTTTCTCCTATTTTCTGTTAACGCCTGAAAAGCCTTTTCCTCCTTGTGGTTAGTGACTTCTGCCAACACAACATAAGAGGTTCCCCAACCCAGAGTGACTCAGCCAGCCACACACGAAGGCCAGGCGGAGCTGGCTCTAGCTGAGAGCTGGGCGCTTCTCTTCCTTTCCTGAAATTTCCTAGGATTCGGCTCCGCTGGCTCGAAGGACACCTCAGCCCTTTGGGCCAAAGTCTTCCCCTTTCTGTAGCCGGCCTCTCTCTACATGGCCTCCTTGCCCATGGCTTACCCTCTGACTGCTTTCATTATCATGGATAATATTACTCATTAATCATTAATCATAGTGTGTGTTGAGGTCTTGCAGTGTGGCACTCTTCTAAGCATTTTTGCTTGTATAATATCATTCATGGTCGCCATCTCTTCATTGAATGCATCTTTGTCACATTTAGCTTAATGTAACTTAGGGTCAACTTAATCCTGTGAGGTAAGTAGGGTTGCCCCCGTCACTTAGCTCTTAGAGAGCAGAGTTGGATCTTTCAGTCACTAAAACACTCTTTTCTTCTCCCCCAGGTCTCTGAATATTGTGGGTCGAATTTCTGCAGGTTTTTAGCCCCCAATTTAAAGAGTTCAAAAGTGCGTCCAAACGTGGTGGTGAAGCTGAGAGTACAAGACACCTACTTGGACTGCGGAACCTTGCAGTATCTTGAGGACCCCAGATTTACAGGATATCGAGTAGAATCGGAGGTTGATACAGAACTGGAAGTAAAAATCCAAGTATGCTGCTTTTTCCTGCATTTGGGGATAGAGGTCCTCACTCTTCCAGCCCCTGGGCTGGAAAGGTCTGTTTCCACACATGCTCTGATTTCTTCCTCTTCACTTTGTTGTTGGCAGAAAGAAAATGACAACTTTAACATTTCCATGAAAGACATTGAAATTACGCTCTTCCATGGGGAAAATAGGCCATTAAATTGCAGTTTTGAAAATATTACTAGAAACCAAGATCTCACCACCATCCTCTGCAAAATTAAGGGCATCAAGGATGCGAACAGCATTGCCACCTCTTCCAAGAAAGTTCGAGTAAGTCACATGGCACTCCGACCCCATGTCTTCTCCTGACTTTTGGTAATTCCTCAACTAACCCTGAGGCCAGGATGGAATCTTCCATGGATCTTTAGATTTTTCACTTTGAATAAACAAAGCTGGTACTGCAAGCCCAAGCACAATTCCTCCAAAATAGCTGGCAGAATCCATCCATGTGCCTGTTTGAATGTCAAAGCTTTGAACACACCATTGTCTATGATACTAATGAGTCTTGATAGCTTTTGTTCCAGCTATACATTTAGACTGTAGCATCTGCAGGCAGAATCTCCGGACCCATTGACAGTGAGCTGTCATTCTTTCCCCAAATGTGAAGGTGACATGTTTTAGCAAAACCCTAAATGGGCCTCCTCAGCACACCCAGAGTGGCATTAGAGTCTGAAGGGGACCAAATAACCTACGGGCACCATGAAGTCATCCTTCTTGCAATTCATCTTCCCCAGACATGTCCGAGGGACTCATCACTGGCCTGTTTATGTCCCACAATAAAGATGTGAGACCACCGAGTAGGGTAACATATTAGAAGCCACCCTTCCCCAGTGTTCATGGCCTATGAGGCTCTGCAGAGTCTATATAAAAAATCTTTATGACTCACAGTTATAAATAATTGGATAAAGGACCAAAAAGAAAAAAGAAAGAGAACATCGGATTGGAAGGCAAAACAAATATGTGTCCGTGTCCCAGGTGCCCTGGTGTGTATGTGCAGCGGCGTGGCCTTAGGTTTATCACTGGACTTCTCCAGGCCGACCCTTGTTCGTCTGTATGGTAAAAGGGTATTGATTATTACAGAATCAGTAAGAACAGCTAACCGCATCAGTCCCCACCTTCCATGGCAGCAGAGAGGAGCAAATGCTAGCAGTCTGCATGGGTCAGGACATCGCTCTCGGATGCCCATGCTGGGATGGGCCACAGCAGAGGACAGACAGGCACAGACTTCTGCCTTTACAAAGCTCACCTGCAGGGACATGTAGTAAAGAAAGTAAATTCAAACTGTGGTTGGATGGGGGCAGTGGTTACAGGGAAAACAACCAGGGGGAGGGGGATTGCAGTGGGGAGCAGGGGAACACGAGCAAGCCAGGTGGCCAGATTGACCCTGGTGGGCAAGAAAGTCCTGCCTGGAGATGTGACACTTGTGGGAGGGGTCAGGGAAAGGACGGAGCCAGGGGCCAGCTGTTCTAGAGTCCTGGGCCGAGGAACCGCAGGCCGCAAAGGTCCCCAGGCTCACCCTGTGTCGTGTGTTTGTGTCACACTAAGGGAGCCTTCGAGGCTGGGAGGAGGGAGCAGGCAGGGGTCTCCACAGAGACTCGGCAGGGGATATTAGGATCTTGTGGGCCATGGCTTGGCCTTGGCCTTGGGGCTCAGGGAAGCCCCCGGAGAGCTTGAGCAGCACTGCCATGAGCCGACCTACTCAAAGGACACAGCGTGTTGAGTCCTCACAAACACCCACCCTGAGGCACCGTCCACGTCCCGCCTCAGTAATGAGAGTGTGGCTGATAGTTGGCGACTCGGGGTCCAGCCGCTGGTATAGGCTGCAGGTGGCACTGGGCAGGCAGTGTCAGATGTGCCCCAGCCACGCTGCTTGATGCCTGCATAGGCCGGCATGGTTCTGAGGACACAAATGCACCTTCATGCTGTATGCAGTAATAGAAAAGGAGGCTGGGTGCAGTTTTTCTTTTTTCAAGGTTTATCAATTTTTATTGCCCCCCAAAATGATAAAACTGACAAAGACCCAGAGGAATCCTCTAGTCAGCATTACCAAACTGGTTTCCACCATAGTATGCTTCACTCAAAATCAGCCTGCCATGAAACACAAGTGGGAGCTCATCAGATAAAAGATAGAGAGGGGCCTTCTACCTCTTCACTGGCCCACACCTGCAATTTAAACCCCCAGGGCAAAGAGGGCCAGAGTTTAAAATCCGGAGGTCTACTCTAGTCCAACACACCTTGAGTGACACACCAGGAAGCTGAGGCACAGTGCGTGATCTGTCCAAGGGTATACAGTCCACACACCCCAGGGATGGGCCTGAGCTCAGATATCCTGCCTCGTTCACCACTTCCTTTGCATCTTGGGGTGATGACTTGCGGCAGGGGGGTGTGTACATACATTTGATGCGCAACTCCCCTGGGTTCAATGATGCTGTTTGTCCCATTAGGTGAAACTGGGAAACCTGGAGCTCTACGTAGAACAGGAGTCGGTTCCTTCCACCTGGTACTTTCTGATTGTGCTTCCTGTCTTGCTCGTGATTGTCATTTTTGGTAAGTGCCCTGTTTAATTTTGTCAGAGAAATCGTTCCCTGGGGCCTCTCATCAGGCAGGCAGACTTTCAGCTTTCAGGGGCTGTTTGCTTCAATTAAGTATTAATGGGTGAAAACCCAAATCAAAACTTTGGGAAGGGAATAATAGGAGCATGCTGAGGCCTTTCTAAAGGTTTTTTTTTTAAAGCATGTCTCATTAATGAAAGGCTGGGTTACAAAGATGGTGTCTTGGTATTTGAGAAATAGGATCCACTTTGCTTCTCCAGTCATTTGAATTGTGATGAGAAAGTACCTATCTGCATGATTCCCTCAGAATTGGTCAGAGATTCTCGATTCCCAGAACATGGTGGCCTTATGTTGCCTCCTCCACCCCAGACACCACCTCCCCATCCCCCACCCCACCCCTTGCTTTCCCTGGCAGAACAAGTCTCTGGAATTGGGACTCGTGACACCTGCTGCCGCATTCCAAGGTCCCTCTGAGCACAGAGATCCCATGTGGCTGGCCCCTGGCTGGACCTGGCACACCAATGTGTTTTGTTGGGCCACACAACATTTTTTAAAACTTTGAAGAAGTTGACAACATTTCAAATTATGTAATTTACAGTTTTAAAAATTGAAAAGATCTGAATCCCTGGAGCCTTATTTTTTTCATCATTTACTAGAGCTTTGTAGCAGCTAAATATTGAGAGAAGAAATGTCTCCCTGGGTTTTCACTGAAGTCTCCACCACCCCCTGGTTTCATCACCCAACCCCTCAACCCATCCTTGTGCCTGATGCCTGCAGCCATTTAGTCTGTGACCTCTACTTTTGAGCTGATTTTCACTCTAAGTCTATTTCCTTTTTGTCTCAGTCACTTTCTCATCACTGAGACACAGTACCCAACACCCACAACTCTAAGGAGGAAGGTTTATCTTGGCTCAGAGTTTGCAGAGGTTTCAGTCCACGGCAGGCTGGCCCCAAGGCAGAGCAGCATGGCAGAGAGGCATCACAGAGGAGAAACAGTCCATGGCAGGGTAGTGGGAAGCAGAGAAAGATTAAGGGAGGAGGAAATTGATGACCCTGCCAGGCCACGCCCCCAGTGACACACCTCCTCCAACCAGGCTTTCCCTCCCAACATCACAGTTAGCTATGAACTCAGCAGTGAGTCCAATCATCTTCCCAAAACTCCACCTATGAGCACCTGAGGCTTTGGGGGGACATCTAGATATCAACCATAACATTCTTCTTTGAAAAAGCTCTTCTTCACCAACTAATGTAGCACTTCCTATTTGTTGAGGGAGTGCAAGTATTGTCTTTCTAATATTTTAGGCTAGTAGAGACAGTTGTTAATGTTTTCTTCTATCTCTTCACTACCTCATTCATTCATTTATCCATTCAGCCATTCATTCATCTCTGCATCCATTTACCTTGTTTTTATTGAGCATCTGTTATGTTGCTGATAACTGTGGGAATCTCTGGATCAAGTGAATCTGGAGAAAGGCGTGGTCCTTTCCCACGGGTCATTCCCAGTCTGGTGAAACAAAGCTTCATGGGTGTGATTAATTGGCCTAATGGAATACATTCACTTTTCAGAGATCTAATTTTGACTTGTTATTAATTATTTCTGGAGCATTTTAAAAAATGCTTTTCCCGAGTCCCTACCCCCGTCATATGTTTGGAGTCTGAAAGTGGGCTGATATGCTAATAAAATCCTGGCTGATGTTAGCTTCAATGAAGAAAGTTACTTCTACAGCACAAATGCTGGCTGTGTTTTGAGAATCCACTGCTATCGAGCAGCCTCATATACACCAGCTTTGTTTTGTTGTTGTTGTTGTGTTTTTGTTTTGGCTTTCATTTTGGTTTTTTGAGACAAGGTCTCACTGTGTAGTTCAGGCTGACCTGGAACTTACTGTGTAGCCCAGGATGACCTTGAACGCACAGCGTTCCTCCTGCTTCAGCCTCCCAAGTGCTGAGATTACAAGTGTGGACTACCATGCCTGGCCCACATACATCATCCTTGCTAAAGTGTCATGTCCACTTGGTGACTGACTAGAAACCTCTGATCTATACATGTGTGACGCTTCAGTCCTCTCCCTTCACTTTCTTTGTAGAGATTGTTTCTGGTCTTTAAGGTGAAGTGGGCTAAATGTGACACATTGCTCTGTTTGCATCTGCAAGGCCCGATGAAATTCTCGTCCTCTTCTTACACATTCCAGGGAGATATGTGTCCCCAGTAGCTTGAGTAAGTCAGTCGGTCAGTCACAGGACTGGTGAAAACACTAAGCGCACCTGGCCTAGGCCTGCCACCTACAGATCCTCCCCAAAGAAGACTCCTGCCGGGAAAAGCTCCCTGCTGCACAATGTGGTCTGCCCAAGCCACCACTGCTCAGAGTGCAGCCTGGGGAACCATGCTCCTAGGAAAAGGAGTTCCATGGCCAAGCAAGTTCAGGAATGGCTGCATGCTCAGCCCTTTCTCGGAGACACACAGCGGGCATAATGGTTAAGTCTGCTCAGTCCATGGTGGGGTCTAGTAAAGAGCTGAAACTCAGTTTCCTCCAACACCTTTCACATTTGCTGGTTGCAGAGCCCTTTGTTCACGTAATTACTGTTAAAAGAGAAGCTTGCTAGGATAATAATGGTAATTGACAATTATCGAGTAGCCATTCTTTTGAAAGAGTACATTCTAAATGCTTTCTGGGAGTTACTCCTTGCGATCCTCCCAACAGCACAGCGAGGCTGGCAGTCTTACAGCCAAGCAGCCAGGCACAGGGATGCCCCCGAACAAACCCAAGGCCACGAAGACCAGGGCCGTGAACCCAAGCACGAACTCCACCCTATTCAGCTCCTCGGCAGCACAATGAGAGGCTGGATGAGGTGGAGAAAGAAGCAGTGTCCAGACAGAAGAAGGTTCCCTGTGACTCGTGCATGAAGTCACCCCATCAGAGCTATGCGAGTCTGGCTTTTATAGTCAACTGCGGATCGGTAGTTTCTTTCTGCACTCACTACACGACTTTATTTCTCCAGGGATGTTTAGAAACATTGAAAAAGAATGGAACAATATAAGTGGCCTGTGGCTGTAGGGAGACTTGGCTTGTTTCATTACTTTTCAGCCAACTGGGATCTTTGGTTACAAGTGAAGGTTATTTGATTTAGTTTTTACTTTAAGATGAGTAGACTTTTTTCCCTACTGTTTTAGCATTCTCTTCTTTAGAATGACCCTCACTGGGAAAATTTCCTCTGATAAAATCTAGCCCTTATGTGTATTTCCTTCTCTCCCTTTCCTTCTTTCCTTCCTTCATTCCTTTTCACCTTACAGTACTAGGGATTGAACCCAAGGACACTCTATCACTGAGCTACAACCCCACCCCTCTTTATTTTCTTATTTTGAAACAAGGTAAGGGCTGGGGATTTAGCTCAGTGGTTCCACCACCTGCCTCGCAAGCATAAGGTCACAAGTTTGATCTCTGGTACATTAAAAAAAAAAAAAAAAAAAAGCAGAAGCAAGGTCTTGCTACAAGGCCAAGATTGTCCTCAAACATTCAGTTTTCCTGCCTCAGCCTCCCGAGTAGCTGGGATTACAGGCATCCACCACAATGCCCAGTTTAAGTGCTGTTCTATGTCTCTTTCTGTCTTGATCTCTCTTTCCATCTCCTACCTCTATTTCTTTTCTTGTTTCCATTTTTTAAGTTAACACATCCATCTGATGCAACAACATCTCTGTCTCCCTAGCGGCTGTGGGGGTGACCAGGCAGAAATCAAAGGAGCTAAGTCGCAAACAGAGTCAACAGCTGGAACTCCTGGAAAGCGAACTCCGGAAGGAAATACGTGACGGTAGGCTCTGGAATTGTATTTATAGATAAACAAGGCTATTTTACTTTTATTTTAATTTTTGCCCTTACATGGAGATGGCTATGGTAATGAGAAGTGTTGTAAAATAGAAGACAACTGAACAGCAGGGCCTGGGCCTGGCTTTGTGTTTTATTTCAGCTCTTTTCTGCAGCCAACCAAGTAATTATCTATTGTTTCTTCTTTAATGAAAACCAAGGTCATACTCTGTGTTAGACAAAACAGCAGAAGATTTTATCCATTGTTTGTGGAGTTAAAATATTGCTCTTGGGACTCTGTTTTGCAGGCTTTGCTGAGCTGCAGATGGATAAATTGGATGTGGTTGATAGTTTTGGAACTGTTCCCTTCCTTGACTACAAACATTTTGCTCTGAGAACTTTCTTCCCTGAGGTAAAAAAGCATTGATCATATTCCTAAGGTTGAGCCTTGAATAATAATGAAGGTATTTTCTTCCAAGGCAGCTGTAGATAATACTCTTGGTTCAAGCAGAGCAGGGACAAGGATGATTATTAATTGCATTGATTAAGGTATAAAACAGTGATGGGTCACTGGCAATTACTCTTTGTCCCATAACAAAAACCTAAGAGGGATGGAAGTTCAGAGTGATGATTTTTGCTTTATTTTACTACCAGTTTAAAACTGAGTTTGCAGCTGGGAAGTGAGCTAATTCAGTTAGAAATCAATAAATTGTGGACTGGCCAATTTGTTGTGTTTATCTGCCTGATTTCCATTGCAACTACTAGATTATTCGCTATTACTTCTCAATCAGGAATGAAAAGCACTACCAGGTGAAAGGGAGGGAAGCCAACATGCATGTAATTTGAGTTGAAAACAGGCATTTTTAGCAATGTAGACTTTTTATGGCTCTCTTCGGCAGTTTTTCTTTAGCTGATCAGTTTTGTTTTGTTTTGTTTTGGTTCCGGGGATCGAACTCGGGTCCTTCCACTTGCGAGGCAGGAGGCAGAACCACTGAGCTAAATCCCCGGCCCTAGCTGATCAGTTTTATTTCATCCTTGTTTATTAGAAATAGCTGCACAAGATGACAGATTAATTGTTCTAGAACTCCAAGGAGGAGTCTATCTAGTCCTTTGGGTTCTGGTCTCACCTCTATTCTGACACCTCCATTTCCTCACCCACTCACTCAGCCTTCATTTACCCTCCCAAGCCTTTGGTGAGGGTTGTCACTCATGCTCTGTACTATCACCTACTGGTCCTGATACCCCAGATCTGCCATATTGAATTTTTTTTGGTCTGGAACTGGTGTCTACCAAGAGACCCAACTTCTAACACACATCCACACCAATGATCATATTCAAATCTAGACTTCTAAACAAAGCCAGAAATCTCTCCAGGCCAGAGGAGAGTTTGTATCACCTTACCAGAAGCTTCTCAGCTATACTTGGCCTGATGCTTACAGTTCAAAAACCCAGACACATGCAGTAAGCAATTTCCAGCTTCACTATAATTCTCGGAGGGGACCTCATGATATGCGATGCTGTGTCTGGAGGTTGGGATAGCTCCATAAAACACCCTCCATATTTTAGGGGCCAAGTTTAGTATTGTAAATCAAGAAGGCTATAAATAAGACTTCAACTGTTTGCATTTGTAATTTTTTATCCTCCAAGGGTACCAGGCACCAGATTGGCCATTTGCTGCCTCACCCATTTCCACGGGAGCAGCCCATCTGGGGAGGTGGGGTCAGTTCTCTAACTCAGGGAGACTGCACAGGGCTTCAGCCAATGTGGCATTCTGAGACCTTCTCTCCTAGCTCTCTGAGATCCCCATAAAGAATTTAACAGCAATAAAATCATGGAGATTTCGCCCATCAACTTAAGTAGTGTGGACTTTTGCAGTTAATGATTATCCTTGACTGCCGAATAATCTGTGGCGTGAAAAAAGAAATTTTCCTGTCTTCTAAATTCAGTAATCGAGAGCAAGACAGAGGGATGAGCGTACAAGTGTCTGAGAAACTACAACCAAACAAAATAAAATCCCAGGGACAATGCTGCATTATTTTGAGAGAAGAGAGATAGTTACAAGGAGCTGAACTGATTTAACTGGGAGTTCTGTATGATCCTGAAAGGAAAAGCCATCAAAATTGAAGTCCCGAAATGTCATTAAAGGAGTGGATCCAGGAAAACCAAGCATCTACTTGTCAGAACTTGATCAAGAAAACCCAAGTTAAAATTGAATATATACTAATTAGGAGAGAGAACAGGCAGACAAGACATGGAGACATTGCCACCTGAAATGCACTCCAGGTTGCAGATAAGGCCTCAGATTAATTAGCCTCTCAGCCTGGAGGTTGGGTGTGGGAGGGAGGCCTGGACTGATCTACACAGACCAGAGAGTGAGGCAAAACCTAGAGGAAACTGTGGGATCACAGCAGGGGCCCTCGATCACCAGTCCCTGGTTCTGTGCCCTGCCTGTTGGTTTTGGCTTTTAAAGTTTTGCTTTTCATTATATTCGCTCGTCTTTGTTTTGTTGAAAATAGAAGAAATAAAGGTAAGCAGAGGAGCTAACCTCCTAGAAGAGGGAAATTTGAATGAAAGGAAGAAAGAGTCCTAAAGAGCCAGGGTGGTGTTACCTTATTTAAGGTCGAGAATCAACCTGATTAATCTGCCCGTTTGTGTGGAGTTGATTCAGCAGGAGAATATTAGGGACCCCCAAAAAAGCAAACTCAGGGTCTGGGTTTTTTTGTTGGTTTTTTTCCTTTGCTTTTTTCTAGGGAAAAAGCGTGACCAAAACAGTTTGAGGTCTTTTGCTTGGGCTAACAGATTTGAAACTATGCAAAAAGATTCTCTGCAGGAGAAATTTACTGTACTGAGACATAGAATTAGCCAATCTCAATACCAGTGATAGAGAACTAAATGTTTATTCAGTTGATTCATTTAAAGTGTTATTTGGTATGTTTTTAAATTTTAATGATTAATTCCAATAATATTTATGATTTGTTTGGTTTTGTTTTTTTTGAGACAAGGTCTCACTATGTAGCCCAGGCTGGCCTTGAACTTGTAGCAATCCTCCTGCCTCAGCCTCCCCCATGCTGGGATTACAGGCTCATGTCACCATGCCTGGCTTTACTTTTTAAAAACTCATATGTAAGAGTTTATGCTTAGGAGCCACATACCATAGTATATAAAATACTTCTCAAAACCAGTGGGGTAACAGCACTGTGATGTACTTGCCAAAAATTAGGGATAGAAACAATAACACTAGCTGATGTAGAGCATTAATGGTATTGCTTGGTTGTTACATGTTCACACTGAGCCTATGAGAGCCATTAATGTCCCTACTTTACAGATGAGAGAAATCAGGCACTGGGAGGTTAAATAACATTTGACCGGTATATGATAAATCCAGGACTGGATGCCAAGTAGTCTGGCTCCGGATTCAATCCTTTTAACTCCTTCTGGAGTAATACTGAATGGGGACAGCGGATCTACTCGGCTAAGCCTTGTTAAAACTTCCCATAATTTAGTATTTATCCTTAGGAGCTAAGAAGTGGTCTGGCATTTGCATAATCTTCAACTACCACTTCAACTTTTGAGTCTACTCTCTTAAAGTGGGAGATGTTACCCTCACCTACCAAAGCAGGACCCATGTGCAATGGAACTTATTCTTAGAATAATTTTGGATCAGTGGTGTTTCTTGAGAGCTGAATACTTATTTATTACGTCTTCAAGGGTGTGCGGCAGCATACACCCGGGGGCTCTTCAGATTAGCAAACAGTGTCTACTTTATTAAAGCAGACTTGGGTATTATAACAGAAATAACAGAAATACACTGTTCATTTCCTTTGGATGTTATGAATAATAAAAATGTCTCCTTCCTCTCAGTCAGGTGGCTTCACACACATCTTCACCGAAGATATGCACGTAAGTCTTTATGTTTTCATTCCGGCCCAGGGACTGCCCTACTTGCATAGTGTTATCATTGTCATCGGCATCTCCATTATTATTGCTTTGAACTTTTATTGTGGGTTTTTTTGGATCATGAATTCAATTTTAAAATAATTCATTGTCTTGGAAAACTCACTGTGGATCTACTTTCTCACTTTAAACTTATATTATGGTATATTCTTCTTTGTGGTCGACCTTCCAGAACAGAGATGCCAATGAGAAGAATGAAAGTCTCACAGCTTTGGATGCACTCATCTGTAATAAAAGCTTTCTCGTCACCGTCATCCACACGCTTGAAAAGCAGAAGAACTTCTCAGTAAAGGACAGGTATTGGTCACCTCTTTTATTTTTAAATTTTTATTTATTTATTTATTTTCATGGTATTGGGGACTGAATCCAGGGCCTTTGCGCTGAGCTACATCCCTAACCCTTTTTAATTTTTTTTTTAATTTTCATTTTGAGACAGTGTCTCATTAGGCTGCTAAATTGCCCAGGCCAGGCTCAAACGTGAGATCCTCCTGCCTCAGCCTCCCAGAGTGCTGGGATTACAGGTGTCTGCCACTGTACTCAGCTTTCCAGAGCATTTGATTGGGCGTTTATGCAGCCACAAGATCTCCATTTCACCCAACACAACTATTTTGAAGACACACATGCACACAACAGCCCCCTCCAAGACCCTAAAAAACCCCTAAACCAAGAAAAAACAAATTCTTAATCAAAAAAGTAGAAGCATTACTTTTAATTTAGAAACACCCTGAAATTTTGGAAAGACTCACTTCTTCTTAGCACGTCAGTTGAAGGGCTGAAAGCAGGGCTCTGGAGTTAACAGTGGTGTGTGGTTTTGTGGCTTCAGGATGGACGTGGTCAGGAACCTCAACACTGACAAAATAGAACAGTGCCCAGCAGACACTGCCCCTGCCCAGACGTCCATGCAAACCACTGCCACCGCTGTCCAGCCAGGGCTGTGGCCAGGGCCTCACTGACATTCTGTTTTGAAACAGGTGTCTGTTTGCCTCCTTCTTGACCATCGCTCTACAAACCAAGCTGGTCTACCTGACCAGCATCCTCGAGGTGCTGACCAGGGACCTGATGGAGCAGTGCAGCAACATGCAGCCCAAACTCATGCTCCGACGCACAGAGTCAGTGGTGGAAAAGCTGCTCACAAACTGGATGTCGGTCTGCCTCTCTGGTTTCCTCCGGGTGAGTGTCACGGGCCTGGGCAGTGTCAGACGTGAGACAGTAGCGCTCTTCTTAATAGATGCCAGGGTGAGTCCTGAATGTTCCATGGTGTCCGCACTGAACCACATTTAACCCTGGTCCTTACTGGGAACAGACAGAGGTGAATGTAATAATAAAAAACTGTTTTGGCTGTAATTGGCCTATGCAAGTGTAATTCATTTACAGTTTCCTGGATTAAAACTCTCTTCTAGTGGATTCACCTCCTCATCCGTAACAGTAATTCGCACCCAGAGCCCTACTGGCCCATTTCAGAAAATGTATTGGGATAAGGGACTATTTCAAATATTGATAAGAACAAATTGTGTTCAGATCTTCAGAAACAGCGTAGAAATACCCATTCCCTACCAACAGGCTGTGGGCTAATGACAGTCACTTCTCATCAGCCATTCCACACCAAAGCAATTGCGCAAAGTGCCTCCCACCCAGGAGTTGACTTTCTTGGAGTGAGTGTAAACTGGTGGTAATGAATTGAATTGTAAAGTCTTTTTGAATGCCAACTTTCCAGATGTCAATAGAGTGGGCTTTGGAGGCCTACTGCCTGGCCCGGATCTAAACCTTCCAACTTCCTTGGTTGTATAACCCTTAGAACTGAAAAAAAGAACATTTTAGGACTGTTTGGAAGGCTAGATGAAGAGATGCAATTGCTCAGCTCTGAGTAATCACTCCATAAATGTTGGCCATTATGGTGATAAAATATTCATATGAAAACCAGGGTGTTCTCTTAGACTCAGTGTTCGATGGGCTCTCAGAGGCCCCCGGTACAGAAGGCTCTTATCCTTCTTTAATTTCACAAGGCATCCAGATTCCAGCAGAACTGCATAATTGTGTATTTGCAGCTAGTTTCAAAATCTAATTAAACTCTGAATAAGATACACTGCTATGCCACAGGTTTTAACAGTGCTACTTAAGTTGAGATCCAAAAGCAGCACTTTAAATAGACTGTCCCTGGTTTAATGTTTAATGCAATCTTACAAGTAGATGCACAACAATTTTTTAGAAATTTTTTTACTGACTCTTTCCTCTCCTGAGGCAATGCCCGCTTATTAAGATTAATGAAATCTGCCTCCTTTTCTGTTTACTTGGTATAAATCATCATATGCTTGGGGACGTGTCAAGTGGGTATTCTGGGGTGAATATATTGTGCTTCCCACTGTGGTCCCTTCAGCCCCAACTACTGCTGAACCAGGGTAACAGGACTCTCACCCTGTTCCTGGTCTTGGTCTTCAAAAGCCAATGCCTACCCGACCAGAGCCCTGCTGAATTAGAAGCTCCAGCTCAGCGGCTGGACCCAAGTATCCATTTCTTCCTCGAGCTCCTATAAGGAATTTTGTGTGCCCTGTGTTTGAGAACCTCTGAGGCAGCAGAAGGAGCACTGGACTAGGAGTCTTACTAGAAGCAGCAAGCGTGGGCTCTAAGATCTTCTCTGCCCGACTGTGTCTCTGGAAAAGGCTTTTTCCCTGTGGACATCGGTTTTCCATCCACCATGTGACATGGTCAGTGCTTTTAGATTCCTTTCCAGCTCTAGCTACCAGGCAGGATCTTGTGATTGTCACTCTGAGCTCTCAAGAGCGGCTGTCGGGCATGAAAAGGGCAAGGTAGTCAGAAGATCTGGGCACCAAGCCCAGCGGTCCCCTTGAGCAAAGGATTCTGGGTCAAGGTTTCTCAGTGCTGATTCAAGAGTGTGTGGAGCACGCCGATGGTGAGGTGGCAGTGCAACTCCCAGGAGGAAGTGGCATGGAGCCAGTCGGTGATACTTTCACTTTCAGTGGAATAATTGCCTCTGGTATAGAGGCTCTGATGCCCCTCAACCAGGTGTTCCTGGGGAGTATGGGACACTAACTACCCCAGTCCTCCTGCCCTGTCCCACAGACACTGAGTGGGCAACACTTACACCTCCAGGTAGCTTCCCCTGCCAAGACTCCAAGGCTTGCTGGGAAAAATACTGAATAATTGCCACTCATTGAGGCCTGCCTTTTATTGGATATGGCAGACATTATGCTAAGAGCTTTGTTCACCTCTTTTCTTTTAACCCCCTTGACAGTCCCGTGAGGTCAGTGCCTTTACGACCACTTTGCACCTGGGGAAGGTGAAGCACACAGAAAAAGGGGATTCTGCCTGAGTCCCATGGCCAGTGTAGGACACACCAGGGTCTAGGGCCCCTTACCACCCCAGTGTGTGCTGAGGAGATAGAGTTGGTGCTGTTCTGTTTAATGCCTAGCTCAGCCCCTGGGGGACGAGAGTCATGTCCCTTGCAGGTGTGACTCACCTAGACCTTGTGCTCATTAGTCACAAAGAAACCCCATAGTTCTGGGGTTCCCTAAGCTGTCCACATTGGAATCACCCTGGAAGGCTTTAAAACTGTGGATGCCCAGGCCTCCTCTCCAGGATCCCACATGGGTAGTCTACGGGGGCACCCATGGGGTGCAGGCATCTGAATTCTTAAGGAGCACCCACGGCATTCTGATGATGATTAGGTGTCACCTCTCAGTCTGGCTACACTCTGGAGAATACTGGAGAATTCCCGACTAGGGGACCTTTGAGTCAGGAGCCGCTCCCCACACAACCCAGGAGAACCCTTCTGGCCCCTGGTCTCACCTCTGCTCAGCCGTGTCTCTGATCTGTGCTGAAGGAAGAGAGAAGTAGGACCACCGGTCTGTGGTCAGGATGTTACCGAAGTGGGTGGGGGAGAGAGCAGAGCTTGGACAGCATGTAAACCATTAAATAAAGGAAGTTTCCCATGAGAATCAAATGTCACATACTAGTCCCACAGCTTCCCCATCTGGGAAAATTCTGAACATTCCCACTCTGTCCCGAACTGAAGAAGAGACTCAGGGATGTTCCTCATGAGCAAGAGATGAAGGGAGCCCAAGGTGAGTGGACAGGGCCAGGGGGAAGAGTCAGAAGGGGCAAGAGGGATCCCAAGGACCAGAAGGGCAAATACGCTTACAGGAAGTGTAAAGTCAGGGGTGGATCCCAGGAAACTAAAAAGAGCCCAGGTAAATTTACCTGATCAAGGGAAAGCAGGTGAGAAAGACAGTAGACCCCTCCTTTGAAAGCTGGGCCCGCTGGCTATAAGCTTGACTTTGTAAACCTGGCTTCAAGCTGCCTTTTGTCCTCGCTGAGGAACTGTCACTTCCTGGCTCCCATCCCCCATGTATTGGCCTAATGTCCATGGATCACAGAAGGCCTACGATTTAGCAAATACTCTCTAGTTGACCTGGGCCACATGCCTAGGAGGAAGTAGAGCACATATCCTCCCGCTGGAGGCTCAGAGTTCTTTGCAACAGGTCGTGGCTACAGATTTGAGGCAGGTGCCCATCCAGGAAAAGTGCCCATGCAGAGATGTGGAGCTGAAGCCAGCAGGATGGGCCCGATGTCTGGACAGAGCCTTGGAAGGTGTGGAACTGTCTGTGGTCCAGGCGAAGGAGTACCCCAGACAGTCTCTGTAGGCCAGCACCACCGGAGGCCCATGGTGGGCCTGTGCAGGAGGTGTCTGGGTACCCCAAGTTCAGTTTCCTCATGAAAAGCTGTTATCACCAAAAAACATCCTCTTTAGCGAATGGATAAAATGTTCTGTTCATCTTTGTTGCCAAGGCTAATGTGCATTTTTTAAAATGCCATTTATTTGGGGGTTGTTAAAAGTGATTAAACAGGAATGTAAACAAAGGTTAAATCTCCACGTATACTCACTGTTCCTTAGGTACCAGCCCACAAGAGCCTTAGTCCACCATATACCAGTGCAAGCGTGAAATAGTGCACGGTGCGGGGAGCTGTGAATGTGCGTGCGCATGCGCGGACGTGCGTGTGCCCGGGCAAGAGGAGGCCGCTTCCTGGGTTTTGCGCCCGAACCCAAGTGAAGCAATATGTACAGTATTTTCTTGGGAATTTCATGTTGACTGTTAGAAAACACTACCTCCTGTCTCCTGTCGTGCTGCCATAAACGGAAACTTTAATTCTTTGGAAAGTACAGTGGGTTCTGGGGAAAGCTGACTGTCGCTTTTGCATCTTTTCCAAGGAGACTGTTGGAGAGCCCTTCTACTTGCTGGTGACGACTCTGAACCAGAAAATAAACAAGGGGCCCGTAGACGTGATCACCTGCAAAGCGCTGTACACCCTGAACGAAGACTGGCTGCTGTGGCAGGTCCCCGAGTTCAGCACTGTGGTATGTGTGCCGGAAAGCTCCCCGGTCCCGACTCCCAAATAAATCTGGCTGGAGGTAGAGGTTGGGGTGGGGCTGGAGTGGGAGTCACTTAAAATGCAGCCACATCCTTCTGCTGCCTTCCATTGGCTATCTTGCAGGCCTCACACGTTTAGTTAATTAAAAGCAATAGTTGATAAAATATTAACACGTGTTCACATAATAGGTTTTAATTACTTGGATTGGGGGAGAAAGCATTGTAATGATGCCTGAGGTACTCATCAATTTCCAAAGATTTTAATATCAGGATTGCTTATAGCTTTCGGCATCGTCAAAGGAAATGCAAAGTACTCCCTATTCAGTACTTATAATTGCAATCAGAATTTCTCAAATGGCTCTGCTCTGGGAAGACAATGTGTGAAGATATATTTCAACCAAATTGAGGCCGTCTTAATTTAGAACGATAACACAAGACAAATTCCACTGCGTTCCCCATGCGACAGGACGCCCTTACTTTATTTTCATGGATTGGTTACAAATGTTTGGTGTCATGCACTTAATGTACTGTGATTTCATAGATATTTTTAGAGGAACGCTGTAAATCACTACAGGAAGACGACTGCGTGGCTTCAGGAGGGTTTCAGAATTGGAGAACTTCCTTTTTACCCATTCCCACTCCACCCACCTGCTACCTTCCCTGAATAAAGAGAGACCAATTTAGGGCATGCTCAGGGATTTCAGAGAGGGAGCCCTGCATGAAAAGTACTGTATCTCCAGGATGACTTATGGATGTTCTGAGCTCTTCTGTTAATATAGACTTGGGGGAGAGATTGCTGTGTTTTGGTTTGATGTTTAGCTTTCTGGAGACTCTGAGCTTCTTTACCATCTCGTTAGTGGAGAGGGAGGAAAAAATTACCATGGGGTTTGGGTATTGCTCACTGAGGAGCTAAGAGTCTTGTGGCTTCACACTGGATGTGAGTCCTGCGGTGTCATCTTGGAAGAATTCACTACCTAATTGGAGAAGGCACCACACTGCTATGGACCGCAGCCCAGTTATGGCGTCTGGTGGGAGAAGAGTCCACAGATGAGCTGTTTCCAGTTCTCGATTCGAAGTGTAGCTCATCCTCCACTAAAGATGCTGCTGTCTGAGAGGAGGGAAGCTGAGCTCAAAGGCATTTCTCCATCTGTGTCTTCGAGGCCGTCCAGTGGTCCTCAAACTTGAGCATGTGTCTCACTCACCGGAAGAGCTTGTTAACACCCATTGCCAAGTAGCATCCTGGAGTTTCTGCTTCAGTGAGCGTGGGGTGTGGCCCGAAATGTGCATTTTTACTGTGCTCCCTGGTGCTGTGATGCTGCTGGAGAATCATTGCTACTCGAGTTTAGAGCCTGGGTTCTGGAGCAGACGGTCTTGAATCCCACCTCTGCCTCTAGGTAGCTCGGTGACACGGAGAAGTCTCCGAACCTCTCTGTGCCTCAGTCTCCTAGAAAGTGAAGATGATGATTATGGCATGTTTTCAGAAGCTCCAAACCTCCCTAACATGGTGTGGAGAGAGTTGATGGCCACTAAATTTGTGGTGACATTTAATTGCCATCATACCTGCCCTCCCAGCTGCTGGCGTCCTGCAGAGTTAATCAGGTCACAAGCACTGCCCTTACCCAAGGATTGATGCGTGGCAGTTCCCGAGGGAGTCGGTGTCGTAAGTGGAGGGTTTCTGGTCTCCTCCCTTCTCACCTTACATCTCTGCCACACTTTCTTTTCCTGGCTCTCACCCCAGCCAGGAGATGCTAGCCCGGTGCTCTTGGACCTCCAAAACTGTGAGCCAGATCAGTCTCTTTCCTTTTCCTAATCGCACAGCCTCAGGTGAGGCTGGCATTTTGTTACAACAACAGAAAGCAGACTAAGAAGGTCTCCGAAGAGAAATGTTTGTGAGTGAATGTAGGTCAGGGGAATCCAGCAGAGTTTCCGTTTCATGAAAACACTGAGTCTAAGACCGGAAGGAGAGGCAGGGAAGTGGGATTGGGGAAAGAAGTCAGATGCCCTGAAGCAACTTCTGAGGTCTAAGTCCTGTTTAATGCTTTACATCTGAACGCTTTTTTCTCCCTTTCATTGAGACACATTATTTATTTCACAGTCAATTAAGACCATGTGTTTCTGATTTGTTAGCACTCAACTCATCATCAGAATGTTTCTTGATGTTGAAGAAATTCATGTCGACTCTTGAAATTTTTTTCTCCCCTTTTATAGCCTGTGGGGAAAAGGCTAAATGGAAAATTAAATCTACACTCTTTCCTTTTCAAATTTGGATTTGCTGGTGGATAGAGTCAAGGCTGAAAAAAGGGGTGGGCTGCATGTTTTTCTAGGGCCCTTGTCTTTAAGAATGATTTTGAATGTCTCTTATTGGGCCTGTCTCAACCTCCCTTTCCCGGTGGGTGACTATACTAGAAGCTCGAGAGAAGGCGTAAGATCCCGTCTAAGCTTGTGTTACAAAATGTTAGCAGAAGGTCAATATAAAAAATTTAAGGTTTTTCACTTCCTTTCAGGCAAGTTCCCCAGCCTGAAGCATCGTATTTCTAATTTTCTCCTGTCCTCTCTCCCCTCCTCCCTCTCTGTCCCCCTTTGTCCTCCAGCCCCGTCCCAGGCTGTACACCCAGTGGTTTTAAAGTCTTGCTTTGCTAAATTTGCCCTGGGGTGGTTTGTGTAATTGAAAACCAAGGTGTGATGAACAAACTCAATTGTGTGTGTGTGTGTGTGTGTGTGTGTGTGTGTGTAGATTCTTTTAAGGAAAGGAAAGTCAGAGGAAAATCTAGAGCAGCCACACAAACACCTTGAAATGCCAAAGCCTGGTGCCATAGCCAGGTCACAATTGAGAAAAGGCCCCCAAACTCCTCTTTGGCTACACGCTCAGAAACACAGCACCTCATGCAACAGCCTAAAAGTTCAGTTTCACACCTCTAAGATTAGGATGTGTTCTCCTGAGGCAATTGGGGGGTGTTCTCTAGAACACAAAGACACCCTGCCAGTTTCTTCAGCATGAAATCATTCAACTAACTAATGGGCTCTGGGAAGTTGCGCTTTGTCCCTTGCATCTCAGGAGGAAAAATCCCTCTGTCTTAGTCTAAGCAAAGCCCTACTGGGCTGCTCATCCTCTGTTCTGGAAGCAGCAGCCGTCCAGCTCCCCAGGCTGGTGTTCAGCAAGGCAGAGCACCCTCGTGTCAGCTTCCTGCCTACCACTGGCATCAGGAGGCTATGTCTACACCCGGAGCCCTAGACTTCCTTTAGTACCCAGGGATTCAGATTTGACAACAGACCAGGACTAGGGGCTGTTGCTCTGCTGTTTCTCCCATGTTGGGCCCCATTGATGGTGCGTGGCAGGCCCTCTCCCACCTTCCCGGTGTCGAGAGCAGGATTTCAGGGCAGAGGCAGGGTTTAGGGAGCTAAGGAAGGCCTGAGAAGTTCAGTTCCGGGAAGGCGGACCCATGAGAGAAAGGACATTTGCCTCACTTCGAAGAGGAGATGAGAAAAACCAATAACTCGTAGCAAGCGTGCTGAATTAGCAAGAGGAGTTTGACTTGTAATCAAAGTTAAGCGAGAAATGGTTTTTTGAACTCTTAAACCCAGGAAATGAGCTTGCCAATCAGCTGCACTGGAGAGATAGTATCTTGGCGCCCTGGGAAACAGTGTTCCGACAAACATATTATTGCTCTCATTCTCATATCTATAAGAAAGTCTTTAAGATTATTAGAAATTCTTGAAAAGGCACAGGGACATGCCTGCAGAAATTGTAATGCATCCATTCTGATTCATTGACGGTTTTATGCCAGCCCACAGCAGCCTGGCTTTTTCCCCAGTGGTTACCATTTGGGGACATCATGTGTGGTGATCCCTAGCTAGTTTCTCATCTAGGTGCTTCCCAGTGGCGCTCTCCTTACCTGTTCCTATCCCTCCCTACCTCTCTCTACCTTTTCCCAACTCCTTCTTTTCCGTTTAGTTTGTCCTTGCAGAGGACCCATTATCCCCGTAATTAAACAACCCACTGTCCCGATTAAGTCATTCTCTGTTACTTCAATTACATCCCATTGTTCATTAAATCCTGATGTTTGCACTTCAGCAATCTTGTTTTTAATACTCCTAGCATTTGTGGAGAAACAGTGGAGTTAATTAACAATTCTTCAGCTTTTTTTTTCTTTTTCTTTCTACCATAGTGCAAATCATTTCCATTATGACTTACAATAATACTGAAACCATTACTAACTTCATAGTTAGTGTTCTGTGCTTCCTGATCAAAGAGTGAAACCATTTTTTATAATCATGTTAGGTAAGTCATTCCCTAGTTGATGGCAAGCTGTGGAAAATGAAAAATTAACTTTAAATGAGTGCTTTAAATGGCTTTCCTTTTCATGTTCTTTCTTCTCACGTCTGTAATCTTGGAATTAGAAAATAATTTAGTTATCGAAGTACAAAAGTATTTAATTTTCTTCTCTGGCTCAAATGTGACTCTCATTTCATTGTTAGAATCCTTGTTTATATTTATTCTTTTCAGAGAATGGTAATTTTTTATTACAGAGAATGGTGACATTAAAAAGCATTTTCTTGATTTGTCTTTTTGGGGTTGGCCAAGTCAGCCTTCCATCTGAATGTACTGTAATCTACAGCAGAGATCAGCAAACTCCCTGTGGGTCCATTGTGGCCCCCTGACTGTTTCTACAAATAAAGTTTTATTGGAAGGCAGCCTTGCCTGTTCATTTCCCAGTTATCTATAGCTGCTTTCCTGCTACCTTGGCAGAGTAAGTAGTGGCAACTGAGAACACCTGAGCCTCAAAGCCTTCCATGTTTACTATCTGGCCCTTTCCAGAAAGTTTGCCAGCTTTTCATTAATCTGGGGCTTGACATAATAGAGAAAAAGAACTGGAGTCCTGCCTCCCGCCAACCCAAAACCCCTTAGCCTCTTTCTGTCTGGACACAGCAATGGAAAAGCATTGTCGCTCTCCACAAATCTGAGACTCATGGGGCTCTTTGTAAACAA